ATGGACTACTCAATGGGTCGGTGAATAAGGATATAGGCTTGGCGAGGAGTCAAAGCAAGCATTTGGGCTGAAAATGGTTGATCCATAATCAGAATTGAAGTGTATGAGTTTTAGGCCGAATGATCCAAGTGCCAAAGAGGCTAGTTATGTGTTTACAATGGCCAAACAACCTTCTAATTATGGGCTTCCAAAGGCTAATCAAGACGTTGACTTTGAGATTCCAAATGATTCACAATCTAGCCGTAGGTTTGAGCTTGAGGAGGTTGATCCATTGGCCATTCTAATAGGCCCAATCACATGGGCTAGGGCCAAGAAGATTCATGAGTCCTTAAATGGGCTTATTCAACTTCAGTCGGTTGATTTCTCTATCATTAGCCTTGAAAAACTTTATATGGGCCTTGTGAATCTAATTCAAGCTTTTTGGGTCAAACTTTCATACTTAAAAGTCCAATTTGGCAAACCATCTTGTGTTGGTGTTTTGGGCCAATATTAACAAAGCTAAAGCTACTAATTCAGTCCACTTCCAAACCTTTCCAAAGTCAATATTTTACACATTTTTTTCACTCAACATTCATCAAGCTTTGGTCCACAATAATGGCTATTGAATTTAAGGAGTTTCTTTCAATTTCAAGGAGTCTTGTTCAAAGCTTTGTTGGATCCAATATTTTTTATTGTTAGATCCTATGCAACTTTAATTCAACTTTGTTTTTCTGAATTTTTAACAACTTATTTAGGTAAAAATAATGTGTAATTTTAGCTTTAATTATCTTTTGAACCAAATCAACGTTTTATGAGAAATTCACATCGAAGTTTTTTCTAGAACTTGATTCGGAACTTATCAAGAATCTTATCGATTCTTATAGCGTTCAAGTGACTCGATCACCCCTTCTACATATCTAGAGTATGGCATCCATACCATTTTGAGTCCGATTCAACTTTCTTAAGATTTCTTCCTTCTTATTCGTGGGTTCTCTAGCCATCAAGTAAGGTGGGTTCACATCAAGATAAGTGTGAGGAGAGATTCTAGAAGCTAAAGACGTGTTTAACTACAACATCGGTCCTTATCTTACCCTTGGGTAGTGGTGGATTTTCGGTGTTTTACAATGCTTTAAGAGAAAGGTTAGGATATGTGCTGATGTAACATGGTAAGTTAGTAGCTTATGCTTTGAGACCATTGAAGAAACATGAGCAAAACTACCCTACACATGACTTAGAATTAGTAGCGAGTGGTTTTTACCTTAAAAATTTAAAAGCATTATTTTTAAGGATAAACTTATAAGATCTACATAGATCATAAAGTCCGAAGTATATATTTGACCGAAGGATATGAATTTGAGGTACAAGAGGTGGACGGAGTTACTTAAAGATTATGATTATACTATCTTGTATCACCTAAGTAAGGCTAATGTTATGATCGATGCCTTGAGTAGGAACTCGGTAGGGGGTTGGCTCATTTATCGGATGAGAAGTTATTGTTGACATCAAAAATGTATAAATTATAAGATTTTAGAGTGTTGTTTAGAGTTAATGAATCGGGTGTTCTTTTGACCCATATTGAGGTTAGGCCGGTTTTGTTAGATCAAATTTGAGAGGTCCGGAGTTAATGATTAAGAACTATAATAGATTTTCTCTAAGATGCAAAAAGAAAAAAGTCTAGGATTTATAGTGGATGGTAGAAGTACTTTATGGTCTCATTGGTGGTTATGTATATCAAAAGATTCGAGCTAAGAGAACGGATTTTGAAAGAAACTCACCATACGACCTATTATGTACACCATGGTTAGGTAAGATATATAATGATCTTTGTGAGCACTATTAGTAGACTCGGGATCGGAATGAAGAAACATATTATAGAGTTTATTTCAAGGTGTTTGACTTATTGGCAACTAGAATATGAGCACCGGAGGCTATGTTTGGATTGAGGGTTTAGGATGGAATAGGATGAAATGTAATGTAAACTATGCTTAAATTGTTGTTTGAGATTAATGGAATGGAATGGGATGGAATGGTATGTTGTTCAATTCCATTCCATCCTAAGTAGTAAAATGAGCAAACCCTAATTTGATGTGTTTAGGATGGAATGGAATGGCCACACCTCATTAATTTTTTTTCAAAATTGTCCCTTACTAATTTTTTTATTTATAAAATTACCCTTAACCCTATTAACCCTATCACCACTCACTTTGCTCTTCATTTTCACTCTACGACTCAAAGCCTTGTAAAATTGAGAGAGCTCCTCTTTGCTAATAAATAATCCCGCATGTATGTTTTTTTAATTACAAACTAAAATTATTTAATTTGGTTGTTTTAATTGAAATTTTTTTGTTCATAGAATTCTAACAAATATTATCCATTCACCTAATTTTGAGGGGAAGTTAACATGTACGTATCCATTTTTCTTTTTTTTTTTCATGTTTTATTTTTTTCATAAATTTCTAAAATCTAACTAGTAAATACATGCCTTGATAATAAGTACTTTTTACATTTTTGTTTTTTATTTACTTTTTTTCCATCAATTCTTGCATAAATAATTACTTTTTGTATTTATTTTTTATTGATAGATATAATACTTTTATTTATTTATTAATAAATATGATATTTTTAATTTCTTTTTTGGTTGTGGGATATATTTGAATATATATATATATATATATATATATATATATATATATATGTAAGATCAAGCTCTTTTTGTTTACATGATTGTTTGTTAGTTATATATATTTGTTAGTTTTATATTTTAACTCTACTTATTAGAAATAATATTCAATAATAAAAGATTGTATGGAAATTTAAGCTTGGACTTTGTTAATTCTAGATTACCTATTCAATATGAATTTATAAATATTTTTCTTTACCTTTACAATAATCTAATTATGAATTACTTTTCAACTTTATTGTTAGATATGTTCGGTCAAGATAATGACATAAACAATGCAATTTTCAAGTTGTTTCGTATACATCACTTAGAACTTGTTCAAGTTGCTTGTCTTATGGTGCGTTGGTATGTGCTATGAAGGAGAGTTTGAAATAATGAAATTGAATGTTTTACTCCTTTAGAAAGAGAGCAATCACAAAAAAAGTATAATGTGACGACTTATTGATCACCATAAAGGTTGTGAAATTATAAGAATGGGACATAAGCCATTATCAATTTGGGTAGTTTATTAGTTAGGAATGGAGGGCTTCGACCTACTCATAGAGTAAGTATTGAAGAACAAATTGTGAAATTTCTTTACTTTTTAGGACATAACATAACTACTCGAGAAATTGCATTTTTTAGAGTCGAGCTGGAGGGGATGTTAGTCATCATTTCCATAGAGTGTTGAAAGTTGTAATTGAGTTAGAAGAAATGTTTCTAAACAAACCAAATGGATTGGAAATTCCTCCAAAAATATTGAACAATAGTAGATTCTATCTATATTTTATGATGAATATACCTTTTATTACTTGAAATTTGGTATTAAATTGTTCACAAATAGTTGAGTTCTTATAAATAATAGAATGTATGAATGTTAGGATTGTATTATGCTATTGATGGTACACGTATTCATGTGAAAGTGTCGAGTCGGGATGCTCCCGGACTTCGTAGCAAAAAAAATTATCCAACCCAAAATGTGTTAACTACTTATTCATTTGATTTAAAATTCACTTATGTCTTAGCTAGGTGGGAAGGGATAGCATCGGATTCAAGAATAATGAAAAATGCCTTATTTAGACAATATCCACTTAAAATTTCCTCAAGTAAATTAAATGATCATAACTTATATTATTAGTGATCAAAATTTTTTAATTCAAATGTTCCATAATAATTTAATGTGATTTCATCCATTATGGGAAAATACTATCTTGTTGATGCTAGATTCATGTTGAGGAGTAGGCTTATAACACCTTATATAGGAGAGTGTTATCACTTAAAAGAGTATTTAAGGAATCCTCCACAAAATCCATGTGCATTATTGAACCAACGACAATCCTTTTTATGCAATGTTATTGAAAGAGCATTTGGAGTATTAAAAAATAGTTTCCTATTATAGCAATAATAGGCGAACCATCTTATGGTATTCAAACACAAAAGACGATTATCATAGCTTGTGTTATTTTGTATAACTATTTAATTGGTGCATATCCAAGTGATGATCTACTTAATGAAATTGAGGATGAGCTTACTATGATAACCATGATGAAGATGAAAAACCAAGAGATGATGATGAGGATGCACGTACGGGATGAATGATTAGAGATTCAATTACTCGCTCAAATGTGGGCGATTATAACATAAATTAATGTTATTTGTTTTAATTGAACAATTTTTTTCTCTTTTAATGGTTTGACAATGTTTGTTTTATTTCTTCATGTATTTCTAACATGTTAATAATTCTTTTCGTTTATTATTGATATGATTTTTTTTAGTGAATTATTTCATGGTTTCACTTTATGTTTTTTTCATCTTATTTATATTCATATATTTTATATAGCATTCATATTGCCACCAAGAAAAAAGACTTCCATCAAAGAATGTTGCAAAAAAAGGAGAGAGAACATATTTTTGGACTCAATTTATGGATGATGCTTTGGTTGAAGCATACTTGCATCAACATCGCTAAGGAAATAGAGTTAGTGACATATTTACAAGTAATGCTCTTGATGAAATTGAAGCTGAGTTGAAGGAAATGTTTTTAACAAAAAGGATTGATAAGGAGAAGATTAAGAATTATAAGAAACTTGTTAAGAACAAGTAGGCTAAATGCTATGATGTGTTCTCAAATAGTGGTAGTGGATTTGCATGGAATCCTACTACAAGTATGTGGATTGTTAAACCCGAAGTTTGGGAAATCTTAATTAAGATGATTGCATATTTATCTTTAAAATATGTGATGTTTTTGTTCATCTATAAAATATGTGATGTCTTTGTTTATTTATAAAATATGTGATTTTTTTTAATAGGTTAAACCGAAGCTTTAGATTGGATGGATAAATAGGTTTACAATTATGAGAAGATGGTGGAGATTTATAGTCAAGATAGAGCAATAGGTGAGCATGCTAAAACTATTTATGAAATAAAGCAAAAGTGCATTGTCTCAGTTGAGGATGGTAATATAGACTTCATTGATGACGTTGATAATATGATTTTTTACAATGAGATCTCTCTAGAAAATGATTGTGCTATGGAAAATGAAGATGATGACCAAAATATGGTCGATACCAATGATTGTAATATGAGAATTGAATCTAGTTCTCACTATGCTTCTTCATCAAAAAGTAGCAAAGAAAAGAACAAAGTAAGCCCTAATGGGAATGAACTTGAGTTCATTAGAGATAGTCTTGATATAGTTGATGAAGCTATTCTAAAATTAACATCTAAGTTATTAAATGTGGCATAATGACTTCCAATTATGGAAAAGGATGTTTATGTTCATTTGGAGGAGTTAGGTGTTGAAAAAACTCAATTGGATATAGTGTATCTTTTTCTAATTGAGAATCCAACTAGGTTGTGAGCTATGTTAGGTGCTCCTTTCAACCATCATAAGAATATGGTGATGAGGATGGTCTTTGGTAATGCAGGGGTATGACTAAGCTATTCGGGGTATGACCAAACTATTCTACGAAATGTATTTCAATATGTGGACTCTTCATAATTTCATTTTTTTTCTTTACATCTTAACCTTTGGCCATTTCATTTTTTGTCTAAATATATATTACTTTAATATTTAGACAATAAAAAATAATACTAATATGGATAAAAGTATAATATATTATCTTAATAACTATTTAATTGCTCATTTCAAATTTGTTTATTGATAAAAGAGACATAGAAGGTTAAATTTATCATCTTTTATTGTTAATGGACAATTCCATTTCATTCCATTGCTTTCCCAAATAATGTTGTTGACAATTCCATTATAAACCATTCCATTCCTCCCAAACAAGGGTTTCAATACATAACTCTATATTATATTCTATACCATTCAATTACGTTCTATTTCATTATAAACCCTTCATCAATCCAAACAAAGCCCAAGTCTTTTCATATATAGCTAATTCTATTTTCTATTTTACTACTTTACTACTACTTCTAATTTACTACTTTACTACTACTTCCTATTTAGCATTGTTTCTTATTTAACATTGTTTTCCTGTTATATATACATACTTGTACTCGTATACAAAATAGGAAAAAAATATTATTTTCTCTCGAATCTTATTGGGTGTAGTCCTCTTTTGGTTCCTCCTAGCCTAGGCCGCCTTGAAGTCACCTTACTAACTGTACATCCGAGGCTGATGGATATGCATTTCTATAGGGGCTCGAGCCCCCCTCCAATTTTTTTTTCCTATACTAAGTAACTTACGAGCCCACTCTAGCTCTTTTTTTCATATAATATAGTTAACTAGATTAACCGAGTAACAATTAACAAACCTAGCCATCTAACTTTTTTTTAATGCAGAGTCCATATCTTACCTTACCCTACATTAACACAATAATATTACACAAGCACTTCCGTCGCCACTTGAGATAAAACACGCATGACTTTAATTCTTTTTTTTTCTCCTACATTAGAGTAAGACAAACCCAACCCTTTTTAATGTTTTTTTAACCTTTGCCTTTGGTTACCCCATAAGGCACAACTAAACCTTTAATGTTTGTTTAATTTGATCTCGGTCGCCTCACAACACTACTAAATTCATTCCTCCTTTTCTTTCTCTTAACTCTTACTCTATTCAAAACATCAAAAAGAAAACCTTTTCTCTTATCCGGATTTTTCCTATTTGACAAGACAACGAGTATTTTCTCTAATCTGGATTAATATACTAGATTTTCAATTGTTTATTTGTTTATAATAAAGATTTTTCTTGTTTATATTTTATAGGCTTTATATTACTAAAGTGAATATTTTGAAATATATTCAACTTATTAGTGGAGCGATCGGTGCTACTATAATTTTTAATATTTTTAAGTGTGTATATTAGTGAGCTTAGGGGTGGCTCCTAGTAGATTTGGGTGGTGGTCTATTTATGCATTTTATTTGAAAATTTGAATATCTTATTTATATTTTAAGTGAATTTATAATTTATTACATATCGCACTTTAGAAATTATTGAATATTCATATTTGTAATTTATTTTTATTGTAGATGAAAAAGTCATACCATTGATGCATTCTTTAAAAGGAAGAAGGTTGTCATTTCAAACTTTAATAAGGATTCAAATTCTTTTATTGATCCCGATCCTAAGAATTCTGAAAATCCTCTAACAAAATCTTGGAGAGTTGAAATTAAAGAAGGATTTGATATCAATTCATTGGAACATGATCCGGGATTACGATCACAAATATGGGAGTATCCTATCGACAAACATTATAAAGTTCAAAGAGCCTATATTAATGCTAAACCATATCAGCATATGCTTTCAAATTATCCAAAATCTGGAGAAAAGCATCCTCATAGTTTCCAAGCATCATGGTTTAAATTATTCCATCATGGTTAGAATATTCTTCAACCAAAGATATTGTATTTTATCTATCATGCTATTTATTTTATACACTAAATGGATCTTTTGGATCAAATGCATTTACTATTAATGGATTTTGGTCATGGAAGAAAGTTAGGGATGGTATGTATTCTTAGTGAATTATGGAAAAGATCCCACTTCTCCTCATAGAAATGCTGAGAAAGCATGTCGGGATCTCATGAATCAACCTTTGCATATTGAGAAAAAGTTTGTGAAACTTACTTCTCGACAAATTACGGATAATCAACTTCGATTGAAAGCTTTAATCGATGTAACTCGATGGCTTGTATTTCAAAGATGTGCATTTAAAGGTCATGATGAGACCAAAACATCGATGAATCATGGAAATTTTCTTGAACTATTGAGTTTTGTGGCATCTTAAAATGACAAGATAGCGGAAGTATTAAGTAAAGCTCCACAAAATGCTTCATACACATCACCAAGAGTGCAAAAGGAAATTTTACAAGTCTTGGCAACTAAACTCAAGAATGCTATCTCGTGAAGAAATTATTGATGCAAAATTTTGTATAATTATTGATGAAGCTGGAGATGAGTCTAAAAAGGAGCAAATGGCTATTGTATTGAGATTTATTGACAAAAATGGATACGTGCAAGAGTATTTTTTTTGGATTGTTCATGTAATAGACATTGCTACATTAACATTGAAAGAATGAATATTTTCTATTCTCTCTCGTTATAGTCTTGATGTTCGGAATATCAAAGGATAAGGTTATGATGGTGTAAGAAATATGTGAGGGGAATGGAATGGATTATAAGCTCTAATTTCAAATGAATGCCCTTTTACATACTATGTTCATTGTTTGGCTCATCGTTTGCAATTGGCATTAGTTGCTACATCAAAGGAAGTTATCGCTATCCATCATTTTTTCACCAAATTGAACTCCATCATTAATATCATTGATGCTTCTTATAAGTATAGTGACTAATTAAAAGCTACTCATACTGCAAATATTGCTTATTTACTTTCCATTGGTGAACTTGAAAGTGGGTGATGGCTTAATCAAGTTGGTGGTTTACAAAGGTCTAGGGATACTCGTTGGAGTTCTCATCTAAAATCTATTTCTAACTTGATGAATAAGTTTAGTGCAACTTGTTAAATTTTACTAAATATCGTTGAAGATGGAGTTACAACTACTCGGCATGGAGATACGGATGAGCTTATGAGGCACTAACTCTTTTGAATTCATTTTCATTATGCATCTAATGAGAAAACATTTAGAGATATCTAATTTGCTTTGTCAAGCTTTACAAATTCAATCTTAGGATATTTTGAATGCAATGCATTTAGTTTCTTCAACTAAGTTACTCATTCAAAAATTAAGAGATGAAGGATGGGATGAATTAATTTTAAAAGCAAAATCTTTTTGTAAAGCGAGTCAACATACCCATACCGGACTCGAGTACCGATTATGTTATAAGAAAAGGAAGGGCTCATTGTCAACAAGATGCAATTATGATTGAGCATCATTACAAAATTGATATATTCAATGCTATGATAGATTCTCAATTACAAGAACTGAATAATAGAATTAATGATCACACGATAGAGCTACTCATTCTTAGTTTAGCTTTAGATCTTAAAGAGATGCGTATATTATTTAGGATTGATGACATTTGTAAGTTAGTGCAAAAATTTTACCCTCGAGACTTTGGTGATCATGAAATACTACAATTAAGGATACAATTTGAGTATTTTGATTATGTATGAAATCTTTTTGATTTCGAAACATTGTCAACTATATCCGATTTATGTCAATGGTTGATGAAAATAAGAAAATTTAAAAGTTATCCACTTATGTATAGAGTGATAACACTTATTCTTACTCTTTTAGTTTCTATAACTTCAACGGAATGGTGATTTTCAGCTATGAGCATAGTCAAGACTAAGCTTCGTAACTAGATGAAAGATGACTTTCTTTCGATTATTTGTTAATGTATATTGAAAAAGAAATTGTTAAAAATTTTAGTATGGATTCACTTATAAATGATTTTCATGACTTAAAAGAACAAAGATCTCTATTTGAATAATTGTATTTTGAGATTATTTTAAAATATATATTGGTATGTTATTTATAATATATATAAGTTTATATGAAGCATGATAAATTTATAAAATTTTATTTTGCCCTCCACGAGATATTTGATCCTGCGTCCGCCACTATGTATATCACAATTCATAAAGCGAGAGAATAAGTTAGGAATTCAAATTTTTGTTCTTAGAAAAAGATAGGGAAAAAGGATTATAGTAGAGCATGACTCACATGATGTGACTAGTAGTTATGCATGCCATATGCCAACATTCACAAATAATGATATTGTTATTCCATAATATGCAACACCAATTTTCACAACTTCAAGCTTATTAACGAGTAGGCAAAACCAAACCTTGAGAGATGAAAACACAAATAGGGAACTGTGAATGGATTCTTAGTCCAAAACAATGCCGAAAAAGATAAGTGGAATTTTTTTTTTTTTTTTTTGTTCAATAAGCAAGTGAACTCTTATTTATTTATTTTAAGTAAGCAAGTGGACTCTTGAAATCCTGCGGGACTCGTGAATTCAATCCAACACTACTTTAGTGGGTCCCTTGCAATCCCGGTGATGTATAGATGGGATAAATTGAAGAGTGTACCTCATCAACTTCAACACCTCACCGCCCTTAAGGAATTGATTCTATGTAAATGGCTTCAACGGAGAGGAATTTGAGAAAGCTTTTGCAAGATTGATTAGGCAACCTTTCATCTCTTCAATTTCTTTATTTCTACTATTGAAAGAATATATAGTATCTACCAAGTTCGACAACCATGCAACGCCTATCCAAATTAAAGGATTTAGGGATTTATTATTGTTCTTT